GACAATATTTATGAATGTAGGCATGTATGTATGTATGTATATCTTTATATATGTATGGTATGTGTATATATTTATATATGCCCTCCATGTATTTATCCATTTATTTTCAGGTGAGCGGACAGATGTTGGGTGTGTGGTCCTGTGTTTTATTGGTGTATATTTAATTTACTTCTAATCGCTATTTCAATCTTTCTATCTTTCTAATTACTTCTCTCTCTGATTTTCTCTCTGTCTCTATTTTCTCTTCACTTATAAAAAGTCACTGATGATGAAGAAATAAATAAACTAAATAAACTAATATTTAGTTTTGTTTTCTACTGAAGTGACAAAAAAGTCACTGGTGATGAAGAAATAAACTAAATAAACTAATATTTAGTTTTGTTTTCTACTGAAGTGACAAAAAAAAAGAGATCCAATACAGATGGTTAATGCAGGTTTACATGACATCAGTGAGCCTCAACACCTGATATTTGTCTAAAACGTACAGAAGAGAAAGGTACTTTGGTTCATTGCATGTGGTGTTGAAAAGAAATTTTGTTGTTTTGGAAAAAGGTAATGGATGTTACTGAGGAAATAATTTTCGAGCAAATAATATTGGATTTGGATGGTATTTTGGCTGTACCAACAAAAAACAAAATTACACAAAAAACAAACAAATATTTAAGAACTTATGTTTGCTCAATGCAAAAAGATGAACATTGTTGTTTTGGAAGGAGGCTCATAGACCGAACATCAACCAGTGGATTCAACAGATGTTATTTACACTTCCTTTGGAAAAGATTACATATCAATATGTCAAAAGTGTAAACATGATGGAGGAACATGTGACTGACTGCAGTTCTTGTGGATTATAAACAGTTAAATGTGATATTTTAAAATGGACATGATGAACTTTGAATGGGGCTGCATTATAATTAAGATTGAAAAAAGCAGAGTTTAAGTTTGGGTTGGGTTTTAAGCTTAAACGCATCGTCTTCTACTCTTTCTGTTGACATTTGCTACCAAATGTTTAAGTTGTTTATATAATAATATAATATTTCAATAAATATATTTGTCAAAAAATAAAAACTGAGTGATGCTGAAGCGTTCCCGTCACTCACCTTGTCGCTGGCCTCCAGCATGTTGTCTCCGTGCCATCCAGAGATGGGGACGAAGGCCACGGTGGCCGGGTTGTAGCCGATCTTCTTGATGTAGGTGCTCACTTCCTTTTGGATCTCCTCGAAGCGCTTCTGGCTGTAAGGGGGCTCGGTGGAGTCCATCTTGTTGACGCCGACGATGAGCTGCTTCACACCSAGGGTGAAGGCCAGCAGGGCGTGCTCACGGGTCTGACCGTTCTTGGAGATACCGGCCTCGAACTCACCGACACCAGCGGCCACGATCAGCACAGCGCAGTCAGCCTGGACAAAATTAATTACATCATTTAAACAAAGCTCAGTGAAAGTAAAGATAAGGTTTCAGATTGGGATTATCACCTGGGAGGTACCAGTGATCATGTTCTTGATGAAGTCCCTGTGTCCAGGGGCGTCGATGATGGTCACGTAGTACTTGCTGGTCTCAAACTTCCACAGAGCGATGTCGATGGTGATACCACGCTCACGCTCCGCCTTCAGTTTGTCCAACACCCAGGCNGATGTGCTCCTGGATGCCGAAGCCGAAGTTTCCCGTGTCGGAGAAGTTGYTCTTCCTCAGCTCGTACTCTCGAACCTGAAAGAGTTTGTTCACGTTTCACTCATCCTGCCTTCAAACATTTCTCCTCACCTGTGAGAAAAGCTTCACATTAACATCTTTTTTTTTTCTTCTGTACGTTTTTAGGACCGGAACTCCTTCCACAATATTTATACTATTTCAACAATTCATACATCAAAACATTCAGCATGTTTGCTACTGAACGTGTTCAGCACAATTTCAGCAGCTTTCAGCTAAAGCTTTCAGCATGTAGCATTCACACTACCATTTTCACAGGAAATAATTCTCTAGTTATTTAGTTTGACGCCATCTTTAGTCCACTTAGCTTTATTTTTTACTTCAATTTCAAAAACTCTATTTTACAAGTCAGCGGAAGACAAAGAACAATATGCACTAAAACCTTGTTTCTGAGCAAACTATAGCAGAAGTTTAACCTTCAAAACTGTAACAAAAATATTTATGTAGAAAAAATTAAATCTAGACTCATTCTTCAGCAGCAGGCTGAAAATAATAACAGTTGAACCAGAGAAGTTTGTGTGAGAATGATAAATATGATCCCAGACTGAAGGAAATCATATCAAACTGAAGAGTTTATAAACTAATGTTTACATAACCGAGTCTTCTACAGCAGGTAAGATACTGACGCTTCATAAGAACTGCAACCAAGTTCAACCAAAAGTAAAGAGTGAATTTTATTTGACGTTAAACAACACAAACATTATTTTACAGCACTTTATGGACCTGAAAGCTGCGACACTTCAGGTTTAAATAAATTCTGCTTTTGTTTCATCAGATCTGTGATTTTCTTCAGTTTATTCTAAAAAAAATCTGATAATCTGTCAGATAATCTGTCAGTCCTTTTTAGATACCCTTCAGGTCAAGTTCAACCAGAGCTCTGAAGTGATTTAAAGACAAAATCCACTTCCTGCTCACCTTCAGTCCCTTCTCCAGGATCTCCTCYGCCTTGGCTCCACGCACGGTGCAGTGAACAGCAATCTTTTCATTTCTGCGAATACCAAAGGATCTCACGGTGTAGCGAGCTGCGGGGCAAACAAACACAAACATTACGATCCAGTCCCGACTTTTTAAACCGGCTCCCCATCCCCGACGATAAAGACGGACCCTTGGAGAAGACTGGGGTCTGTCCTGTTAGCTGCTCCAGAACTTTGGCGGCTCGGGTCAGCCTGTCTCCGCTCTCGCCCACACAGATGTTCAGGCAGAGCTTGCGGATGCGGAGCTCTCTCATGGGGTTCTCCTTCTTCTCACCCTGGTCCTGAAGCAGAGAGATCATTAGTCAACAGTTGAACTGACCAACACACCTGACACCATGAGTTAACCTGGTCAGTGTGGTTCCACCATCCTACAKGATTTAAACGCACACCGGTCACTGAACATGTCTGAACACAACCCTGCTGCTAAAGCTGTTAGCATTAGCACAAATAACGTACCTGATTTATACTAAACTGACCTGCTAACAGATCAAAACTAAATAAAATAAAAAATAAACAACACTTCAGGGTCTTAACTCTGCCGCAGAATCCGATTTAACCCGGAAGTGTCAACGAAAAGTCAGGTTTACTGCGGCTAACCTGTTAGCATCGCTCRGTTTAACCGTTTAACAATATTATGTGATGTTTATTGAACAAATATGGGTCTAAATAAATCCCTTATCGTGGACTCTGAGAGTCCGGACCCAGGTCAGGGACTAAAGTGACCCTACAGATCCGATGATGGCGGATTTCTGCTGTTCCTTCATGCCTGAGCCAAGCCGCTCGGTGTGAGCCGCTACTCACCGCCATGTTGGATCGCTTAGAAGAGGGCGATCCACTTCCGGYGGGAGGGCTTTATACATGAGTGTCCGTCCGGAAATAAGGCCCTGAAAACAACACAGAGCGAGGCGGAATGTTCCGCCTTGAAAATTAAAGCTAAAATTTCAATCTTGTTGTGATTAATCAAATATTTAACTGTACTGAAATAAAATATGTATCTAATAAGTCATAATCATCATTTATCTTGTAT